TACTTTACTTCCTATGTCGACAGCAATTATGAGTTTAAAATTAATACTCACGAAAATGCAGTGCCAGTAACAGTATATATACATGTATCTTGTCTGTTAAATAACCTAAAGATATTTACGAGTTAATCATATAATAGATTCTTTCCAAATTTGCAAGACGAACCCAAAGACGTTATGTATGAAACTCTATGACGTTATATACAAAGAGTCGTGATAATATGAAAACCAACATATTTGGAAATCCAGTGACGTAATTGCTTTATACTACGTAATATCATCGCCCGAACCTGTATAATTATGCAATGTTAACCTTGCTTTTGTGAGTACTGCAATGACAACAAATTCTAAAACACGAAAGAACTAACAAAACTGTCATTACAAATACAGTGCTTATAATCATTTCATTTGAACTAGATGTCACGTTTTAACTGATTCAATATGTCGTTTCTAATAATCGGAATTTAAAGCATTATGGAGATGCTCCGCTTTCTCGAGTGTACCATTTCGATGATTTTGCCAACAATGACTCGTTCAGTGTTATGTAGGCAGAAAATAGTCTGTTTTATGTTTTTTAGGATTCTTAATACGGACCTGTATGATCAATAACCGTCCGCATATCACCGAAGGAAGCACACCAGCGTTGACAAGTATAATCATCATTCTACAAAGCTAATAATATACTGATTATAACATTATCATTAATTTTTATTTATCTGTTTTTTGTTTTCTTTTTTATTGCACGCAGTGGCATATGTTGTGAATTTAAGGTTTGTTTTGATAGATAGGGACTTTGATTTCTTACGTAAGAATACAATTGACCGAAGTTTGATTTGGTAGTGTGTTTATATGATACGCATACATTATGTACTAAACTATTGTGTATGAGGTTTGATCAATTAATTGCTATCATTGTTATTGCTTGTTGAAAATCCTACGACATTTATCTTGTTTCTTTTAACAATATCAGTATTTGTTATAAGCGCACACACTGTAAAATTGGATTTCTAAATTTGACTTGCTTCAAAAGGACAAAGGTATAGAAGGCTTGAGGGTTTGGTTTATACATCTTTTTTCATCTGGTGATAACGAGGCATATTTGTGTTTGCATGGACTGACATTTGTCAACTAACTCACATGGAATAATATCGCCTTGACAAAATACGTCGCTATTCAGTACAAACTGTATCGCTTTGCCCATATAACACATTTAACTAGTAATGCATTCAGTTGAATTTAATAAACAAATTGTCAAGGTATTCAATTCTCAAATTAATTGCTTGTCATATTGGTGAATACCCATGATAACATACAGTACCCTGGAGATTAAAATGGGTATTGAACATACCCATATGCTATTGGCTCGCCAGGTAAATTCAAAGACGGAAACGTGGGTTAATTAGAGGCTAAGAAAATGGAACCTCCGGCTGTCCAGATGTCGAGATATTAATTTGTACGACATGTATACACGATGACCTATGGCTTATCAAATCCATACGAGGCACTGTAATAACACTAACCATAATTATTGTCATTGTACATTATTTCTAATCAGAAGTGCACTCCTGTAACCTCATTCTCATTCTCAACATTATTCATGTTTTTACAGTGGAAATTTAGGTTCATCGCATACATGTATTATTTCGTTACATTCTAATTAGGATGAAAGATAATTTTAGTTTTGTATAGTTGTTCAGAGACTATCAAATCTAACATATTACAAGGTTCTCAGTCCATTCAATATGGAAGGCTAATTCGTACTATATTCTTATTTATAAATGTTAATTGAATTGTTAGATCTGCTGAAAGTATGAATAAAATGCATATGATTGAGCATCTGTAGATTTGTTTATTTTGATAAGGCAAATAAAATGTGATGCAAACCGTGAACTTACATCACTTTACTTTATTTGTTTTTCTATCGACGTCAATGTTGGCACAAAATTCAAATCATACGTCAACTTATGTACATTTGTATATGAACTGAGTAATTCGTAGTGAATGTTATCTTAGAAAATGGGTGAATACAAATAATGCTTTTTATATACGCGGCATTCTAACTCAACATACTTTAACTGATATTTGAAACTACCAGAATTGTCACTATAACCAAGAGATGTGTTTAGCCCCGTGGTTATGTTCTGTCTTCAAATCCAAAATGTGACATAATTTTTCCGCAACCTTGTCAGTGCTGTCACTTAGTGTTAACGTGCGCAGTCAAATGACTACAACAGCTAAAGGTGTAGTTGATGATGAGATTGTGTCTTGTTTATTTTAGAGCTAATGTAGAAATATTTTTTGGTGATTAAACTCCCTCGTGGATAATTCATAAATGGTTACATTCAAATACCATATTCACCCTATCGCCTCATAAAAAAGTCATTAAAGTACTTTACTATATTAATGTTGTGATTCATTCTCCAAAATCATACTATCAGGCGTATGCTCCAAATTCAATAGGAGACGATGACGAATATATGTTTACTATATAATATGATTAATATAATATGTGGTCAGCCTTAACGAATAACTGCTTAGACATCCAAATTTCCATATATATATATATATATATATATATATATATATATATATATATATATATATATATATATATATATATATATATATACCGGTATATCTGACGACGTATGTGAAACATACTCTAAAGTTTAATTATATAAATACATTAATGTAACCATATGTGTCAGTTATTTTTTCATATAGACATACGATGTTTGGCACGCGCATGCAAAATCTCATAGGGCTACATTGAGCGCGTTTACATGATTAACACAATTATGATATTTCACCTTGTTGACCATAATTTGATTTATAATAAAATCCGCTGAAATGAATTTGACACCCATTATATATTGAGGATATCCAACTCAAGGTGGATACGTCTCAATTGTGAATTATAACAATGGGAGGCCGCTGAATTAACTAGCTATTGATATTTACTATGCAATGTCATGTAGAAATTTTATTTACAGTGATTTCGGAAAATCCATGCCAAATACTCTGTATTCACTGTGATTTACAAATAAGTGAATAAGATGAGAAATACTGAAGTAAACATACTTTATTTATAATGTGATTTATTGCGCTTCTTGTTGTATCTTTATGCGATTGGAACGTGAGCATATGAACCAGAAAAAAGATTAAACTCATTGATGCTATTTGTGGTACAACGTCCTCTCAAAAAGAATTGCCAACCAATCAATATGTACATGTATAAATCGTTAACGTTTGAATTACTCGCAGTAAATAAGGCACAACTGTTTGGATCACAATTTCTTAAGACAGAGGACTATATGTTAACAAATGTATATCATGCGATATAGGTAGAAGACGCACAAATACAAGCGAAGGTCATTCAAAAACACTTCATCTTCCTGTCGTCAGTAATTTCATTATTATTGAAACAATCCGGGAAATATGTAATTACATGTATTCGGATGTTTTTTATTAAATGATACAACATTGTTCACTGTGCACTAAATTAATCATTCAGGCAATCTGAATAAAACAATAAGTTATATGGACACACCTCTAAACTGTACGTGATAATGTTACCATACATATTTTATTGATATTCATTAACCATTTCCGCGAATGACATGAGTGATTTGCGTTTCTACAATGCAGATGTAATTCAACAAACACACAAACAAATTTGCAATAAATCAATGTTTTATATAGCGAGTTAAAAAGTAATTTTAGGCAAACTTGAGTTGACAAAATTAAATGTGAATGAATTAATTCCTGAAATTGATTCTCTTTATTATGAAATCAGTACATTGAGAACATACTGCTACTAAAATACAGGCTTTTTTGTTTTGAATCAACATGCACTGTTAGTATGAAGTAACGCGGTGCAGTGTATACGTGTATGTGTGCCTATGATGTTTCATCACGTACTTTCATCTCTATGGAAGTAATTATAAGTTGAAGATTTTTGCACCGACAACGTTGAACCAGTATGCTATTCCAGGAGAACAAATGGTTTTGTTTTCGAACAAGCGCGAAGCTTGGGTGCAAAAATATTGCCGATTGTGAGGAATATCTTCTATTAATTATTGATCTTGTATATTGTTGAAACCTCGTATACGAGAAAGTC